CGTACCAAGTGGTTTTGATCGAGGATTTGAAGCCGAAAAAGTTTTAGGTGCAACAGATTCAGCTGGTGAACTTATGTTATTAGTAAAATGGCGTCATTCAGATGAAGCTGATCTTGTTCCAGCACGAATTGTTAATATGAGATGTCCTGGACTTGTTATTGAATTTTATGAACAACATTCTTTTTGGATTCGATTACCAAAAATAAATCAAAATGATACATCAACAACACGATAAATATAATCTATCATTCTTATTTTTCTCTTTATGTTTGTATATATATCATGTTTTGTGTTTGATCCAAAGAAAAAAAAAGTCAATGATATGGATTAAAGATATAAATATTCTCAATGAATTCTATTAAAATTTAATTAAGTGTAATAATTCTTTATAAAAAAAAACAGACTTTTATTGAACGAACTTCTATTAGCTTGATAATGAGTAAACAGAACGTTTTTCTGTGTATATAGAACTGCTCACTAAATCTCGAAAGAAGAAAATGTACAGAAAATACGAAATGTAACGTATCGAAATTTTAAAAAAAGAAAAACTTTGGAAGAGGTCCTCTCATTCAACGATTATTCGATCAGATTCAAATGGGTATTATTATGACTAGCATGTTTTTCTTTCAGGGCGTGGATCAAGATCTAGATTTGTGTTTGTACAAGATAAGTATAGTAACTACATTCATCCATTTTGTTCTTCGAGATTTAGTCAACATACCTATATATATCTGAAGTTGATTTGCGAAATATCTTAAATTCAAAGTCAATATCGACAGATATTAAGCTTAATAGAACAATCATTATATGATAAATATTTCACTGGATACGAGAAGTTTATTCGTACAGAATTCTATCCTTTCCAATAAAATGAAATGCTTGATGAGATTTTTATCTTATCTGGCAAATGAGAGTGTGGATTTGTTTTTTTATAAATCCTAAGAATAAAAAATGACATCACTCTCTTTATATAAATTCGAATGCGTTTACTCGTTTTTTGGTTCTGTTTAAAAGAATATGTTGTTATAAGTATATCTACGAATACGACAACGAGGTCATGAATTTCATTCGATTGCATTTTTTTTCTTCCTTTTTTAATGCCATGGGCCTGACTTTTTTCGATTGTATATGATTTATTTATGTACCGTTCTTCAGAAAAGAGAAAAAAAAAGAAGAAATACGAAATACGCTGTCAGCCTTTGAATGATTAATCAAACGAACGCTGACTCAACGTAATATTCGTTTCAATAAAACAAAGATGGCTGCTGTTACTGACAGTGCTAAAACAGAAATCAATGTAATGATTATTGGAGAAACAGGCAGTGGTAAAGATTAAATATTTCTATATCAAAGCTATCTTCTTTTATTATTTTCAGGTAAATCAACACTTATTAATTATTTAACAAACCTATTTCATGATGGTTCATTAGCAAATCTTAAAATAGCTATACCAACACGTTATTTAAAGTCGAATATGACTTTAGTAATGCCTGAACATCATGAAGATTGTATCGATGATATAACACGTCGTAAAACTAATCAATGTACAAAATATCAATATAAAATAAAAGAAGTTTATTTTAATTTTTTTGATACACCTGGTATTAATGATACCGGTGGTTATTTAGCAGATAATGAAAATCTTGATAAAATATTTCAATGTATTCAATCACTTGAATATCTTACAAGTTTAGTATTTGTTTTAAATGGTACACAAGCACGTTTAACAATTAATATAAAAAATGTTCTTGAACGTTTTCATGAACGTATCCCGGATATTTTTTATTCAAATATAATCGTTATTTTAACAAATTGTACTTCACATACAGTTAATTTCAATTCAATTAAATTATTAAATAATCCACCTATATATCATATGCAAAATTCAGCATTTTCATCCGATCCTCAAACATGGTCGGAACAAACATTGAAAATTTTACAACATGATTGGAATATATCAATACAAACAATGAATGAATTTATTAAAACTTTAGTTTTATTAAAACCTATTCCAACAAAATCTTTATCAGATATAAATAATGATCGAAATATTATACGTAGTATTTTACATGAAAGTCGTCTTATGATTATGGAATTACAACATATTGAAGATGAATTAATTGCACTTGAAGAAGCATCACATATCTATTCAGCAAATATTGAAAAATATATCGAAGAAAATGGTACTCAAACAAAATCTATTCAGGTTAATAATTAAAAATAGAGAATTATATACAGGGTCTCCGATTGAGGGGAGGGGAGCTGGGTGGGTGTAGCCGCCCGCAAAATTCGAAAAGCTGTCTATCCCCCTGCCAAATTTTTTAAAGTTTTGCTAAAAACTTGTTCAGAAACCTGTTTTTTATGCTATTTTCACCATTTTCCGCCAGAAACTCCAATAACAACACTTTTTTCGGGCGAAATTCCACAGAAAGTGTGCAGCTTAAGTATTTCCTACGTTATATGCGTTAGAAAGCTATATGATGGCACTTTCTGCCAAGTTTTATCCCCCCGCACTTTTGAAAACAATCGGGAATCCTGATTATATATTAGAGTTAAGTCACGATCGAATTCAAAACTTTCGATTTTGTAGGATCCGTAAACTTATAGTTACTTCTTCAGAAGCAATATACTAAATAAAAGAATAGATTGTTTATTTATGAATTTAACAGCTACTAGGTAAAGTTAAAATTTATTATGAATGAATTTTTTTTCTTCAGGTAAATGAAATTACAACGACACCGTATCATAATACATTATGTTTACAATGTAATATAGTTTGTCATGAACGATGTTCATTGAGTGAAACTACACAAGTAGGTGAACATGTTTTTCGACATTGTACAGTTATGAATAATGGTCAATGTACAATGTGTCCTGGTCAATGTACTTATAATATGCATTATCACGATCGTCGTTTGATAAAATCTGTATCACGAACATTAAAAACTGCAATATCATCATTATCAAATAAATATACTGAAGATAAACAACATAAAGATGCATGTGATATAAAATGTAAAACAATAAAAGAAACAAAACATTTACTTGAACAATTGTTACAAGATCAATTTAATAAGGTTCATAATGCTTGTATACGTGTACAAAATAATTGTCAAGGTTTTAATATTGCAAATGAACTCTATACATTTATCAATCTTCTTAAAAATGATACAAATTTAATACGATCAACATCGATAATTCATAAGGTAAACAAGTTAATTGAAAAATTAGAAGTATTGGCTAATGATAGTTCAATAATATTATATGAACCATCACGTGCTACAGTTACTCAACAAAAGAAACGAACATCGAAAAAAGCAAATCAAATACAAGTACCAACAGCAATAGTCGATCAAACATCTCATTCGCAGATATTGGATTTTTCAAATAATCAACGATATGCTGAATATACAACAGAAGAATTGATTGATTTAACTCGTCAGTTAATAGAAAACCATACGTTAATTGAAAAAGAATTATATCATCGTTGTGAAGGTACTTCAATCGGTTATTTATCGTCTACAGAATTAGTAACATTATGTGAATATTATACTGCATCTTATATTTTGGAAATAGATGAACTTCTTACTTTACATTCACAACTTCAACAAGAAATTCAAGAATTAACTGTTTCCGATCCATATAAAATTCTTCGTGCCCCAATAGATAAATTAATACATTTAACTGCTATTAAACTTTGTTTACAAAATGTACATAAATATCAATAAAATTGTTTCTATGAATAGACCATGGGCCGCGGAAGCCAGAGGCACGGTGAGGCTTCAGCCTCACTGGAATCTGGCCTCTGTAGACTCAGCCTCACTTAAATTGTGAATATTATATTTTTTTGCGCGTTGATTTATACTTCGAGCTTCTAATACGTTTATGTATACATTGTGACGAAGGAAACTAAGAAATTCATACAATATTATTCTCACTAACTATATTTTTGTGGTTCATAGCGACATCTTTTAGCTTATTTATACATGAAGTAATGTTTGCTAATCCAGTTGCAGAACTATGCGATGAAAAAACATCAGAACTCTAGCTATATTCGAGTACTTACTCTCTTTAATGAGTTTAGTGAAATTTATCCGGGAAAACGAACTGATTCGTATATTTATTCGAATGTCTACCTTACAAACTTTATCCAATGGCTTGGTACTACGATTTAAGCGCAGTGTATTTCGAGAATTATTGAACAAATTTATTATTAACTGGTCATGGGGTACAACAGAAAGGAATTGATTAGTTCAAAACGAACAACTAGTATTTTCCGTTTGATGTTTACGTTTATTATCATCATTTTAATCATTTTATATTCTGTATACTACATCGGTACTTATCATGAACTATTGACTGCGTCTGAATATCATAATTTTCCTGTAAAATGGAATAACAATCCACGTGGTGTTATTGTTACACTTATTCGTAGTACGAATCGATCAATCGCTCAAGTTATTAATATGATTCATTCTGTGACTCTATTTCATTCAACTAATGATAATTTTCAATATCCATTTCTTTTATTTCATGATCACAATTTTACTTTAGCTTTACGTCAACAAATTTTATCATGTGCACGTTATAAGAATAAAACAATACAAATTTCATTTGTTCCTCTTAATTTCGTAACAAATGTTTCACGATCTGATAAATTCTCTAAAAAACATCTACCTGGTTATCGTTTAATGTGTCGATTCTGGTCATATGATGTTTTTTATCATCCAGCAATTGTTTACGGAAATTATGATTATATAATGAGAATGGACGATGATTCATATTTTATAAATAAAACCCATATAGATCTTTTTCAATATATAGATCGTAAAAAATTAGATTATGTCTATCGAGCATGGTATAAAGAAGATAATAATGCATCATTTGCTATCGAAAAAACATTTTTAAATAGAACAACAGCTAGAAGCGAATGTATTTATAATAATTTTTTTATTATGCGATTACAATGGTTTTATAGATCAGAACGAATACAACAATATTTACATGAATTAATTCGAGATGATTTAATACTCCGAGAATATATTGGTGATGGATGTATTCATGCAGCTATGCTTGAAATTGATCCAAGAGCAAGAACAGAACATTTAATACAAATTCCTTATGGTCATAATTATCATATAATGTTACCCAATCATGAAAATCTTACCTTTAATTATGTCAAAGAATTTGAACAAGGAATACTAAATTCATGTCATCAACTGATTGTTATTTGTAGTACAGAGGGCAACGTAAAACAAGTTACAATTGAATAATTTTTTTATCAAGAAGAAGAAAATGATTCTACTTTTAGTATTGTCTGTTTAGAAAATCTATACTTATTTTTATATTTGCTTTTTTTTGTACTGTTAATCATTGAAAATTCTATATTAAAATATAAGAATTTTACTGGCAACTACTCGTTGTAGTTTTTCAGAAATCTCAGTAACTAACAAATATTTTTTTATATATGCTATTAGCAGTGGCGGATCTAGGATTTTAGAAGGGGGGAGGGCGATTTTTTTTTAGTATGGAGAGGCGATACCTGGGGAGGGGTGGGGGATTGTTTTTTTTTGTGAGTATGGAGGGGCGATACCTGGGTAGGGCGATTTTGGTTAAAAGCTATTTTTCGAGCTCAACCGACGTAGTGTGAACCTATTTTTTCGTTCATTTTTGCGGTGAAAAATCAAAAAAAATTCGGAAGGGGAGGCGATCGCCCCCATCGCCCTCCCCCAAATCCGCCACTGGCTATTAGTACTATGTTTTTTATCCATGGAAAATAGTTCAAGATCTTTATTATTAACAAAAATGGAATCATAAAAAATTATGTATCATACAACTTCTTTTCTTTTTAAGTTACTTTCAATTTTAATCATTGATAATTTGAAATTATGTTTGATTTATTTTTGGCATACATCGTGAAAATATCGTTTGTAAATATTTTCTCAATTCATGATTGTATAAATAAAGATCAATAATATCACATAGTAAAGCTAATTCACACCAAATTGTAAAGCATGATAATAAAATTGGATGGATGTAAAACGCATTTTCAATAGCAAGTAATAAATATAATGGAGTCCATCCTCCAATAAAAATACTAAACATTATGATCATATGTCGAAGTAAACGAACATCTCGTCG